ATGTTGGCCAGGCTGGTCTGGAACTCCTGACCTCAGGTGATCCACCCACCTTGGCCTCCCAAAGTGCTGGGATTATAGGCGTGAGCCACCGCACCCAGCCAAATTGTCCCATCTTAAGTGAGGGACTCTATACATTGCCTCCTTTGTCCTTGTACTGTATGTTTTGAGAGCATTCTTATTTTCTTTGGAGCAGACGGAAATTGTGTGCTTCCCTTTTTCTGTTATATAAGTTGCAAAGAGATGCCCGTTTGGCATTTTCCTTGTTACTTGGCTTATGGTGTTTCCTAACACGCACAATATTCTGGTTTTATGTTGTATCTTTATCAATTTTTTAAATTAATATTTCTTGGTTTGAGTCATAAGCCCGATTTATCCTCACAGCTTGTAGAAGTATTTATCAATGTTTTCTTCTGTTTTTATGTTTTCTTTTTTGTTTTTTTTTTGAGACAGAGTCTCCCTCTGTCGCCCAGGCTGGAGTGCCGTGGCGTGGATCTCAGCTCACTGTAAGCTCCGCCTCCCGGAATCACGCCATTCTCCTGCCTCAGCCTCCCAAAGAGCTAGTGAGAGATGAAGCTGTCTGGGTTTCTGGGTCAGGTGGGGACTTGGAGAACTTTTGTGTCTAGCTAAAGGATTGTAAATGCACCAATCAGCGCTCTTTAAAATGGACCAATCAGCACTCTGTAAAATGGACCAATCAGCACTCTGTAAAATGAACCAATCAGCAGGATGTGGGTGGGGCCAAATAAAGGAATAAAAGCAGGGCACCCGAGCCAGCTGGGACAACCCGCTGGGGTCCCTTTCCCTCCTGAGGAAGGTTTGTTCTTTCTGTTCTTTTGCTCTTCATAATAAATCTTGCAGCTGCTCACTCTTTGGGTCCCCGCTGCCTTTAAGAGCTGTAACACTCATGGTGAAGGTCTGCAGCTTCACTCCTGAAGTCAGCGAAACCACGAAGCCACCAGAAGGAAGAAACTCTGGACACGTCCGAACATCAGAAGGAACAAACCCTGGACACACCATCTGTAAGAACTGTAACACTCACCGGTAGGGTTTGCAGCTTCATTCTTGAAGTCAGTGAGACCAAGAACCCACCAATTCCAGAGACACTGGCACTACAGGCGCCTGCCACCACGCCCAGCTAGATTTTGTATTTTTAGTAGAGACGGGGTTTCACCGTGTTAGCCAGGATGGTCTTGATCTCCTGATCTCGTGATACTCCCGCCTCAGCCTCCCAAAGTGCTGAGATTACAGGTGTGAGCCAGTGGGCTGGGCCCATTTTTTTTACCGTTTAGATTTTTCTTTCCTTTATTCCTTATCTTACTATAGCTTGTGAAGAATGAATTAATTTTCATCTTTTTATGGGCATGTTCAGTTGCCAAACACAAAGTATTAATAAAGGCTCTGTGGATTTTATTGCATAATATCTCTTATGCTTTGGTATATTTCTGATTTTTCTACTGCCCTGGTCTGTTCACCTAGTTTTGGCACAACATCGCACTGCTTTAAGATCATAATGTATTTTAATGTTTTACAGAACCAGAAACCTTCACTGTGTTTCGTTTTGGCTATTCTTATATGTTTGCTCTTTCATATCCACTTTGCAAAATTGTTCCTAGCTTTAAAAAATGATAAATCAAATACAATGTTGACGTTAGCTTAAAAATAAATAGCCTGTAGTATGTTTTCCATGAGTATGAAAAAGACTTTGCTATCTTTGAAAAAAAAATCCATCAATTACTATTGTAGATGGTTTTAAATTAACAGCAACACATGCTAAATTCTGCTAGACATTTTTGCATATGCAGACATGATCAAGGGACTGTTCTATTTATCTCTATAAAAATGATGAACTTTATCAGTTGACTTCCAAATATTTAATCACTCTAGAATTCTAGGTATAAATTGCATTTTGTCATATGTTGTTTTTAATAATAAATTGGAATGTGCTAGTATTTTATCTTACATATATCTGTGTGTAGGCAGAAATGAGATTTTTCTGTATTATTCTATTTTGTACAACATTTGGAAATTTTGGGTACCAATGTTCCGTTTGATCTTCATAACCTATTTGGAGGTAATACTTCCATTGCAATATTCTTAAATTGAGTTAGAAGCATTGATTTATGTGTTATTTGAAAAGACTGTAGAATCTCCCTGTTAAACTACTTGAGCCCGGAACTTTATTTGTGAGCACTTCTTTTATAAACTTCTCTACTCCTGTGGATATTATTCTGTTTAGACTTATAAACAGGGGTCTATATTGGGAAGAACTATATATGTTTTTCGCCAGAAAAATTCCGTATCATTTTGCTTTCCAAATCAATGTGCGTTAAGTTGTACTAATTATTATTTAATGATTTTAATATAAATTTATGACAGCATAGTCAGTCTTCTACATCTAATCCACTGATGCAGTCTTCTTCATTCTTCTTAGTTTCTTCATGTCACCTTCTTTTTCTTTTATTTATTTTTATTTTTGAGACAGGGTCTCACTTTGTCACCCAGGCTGGAGGGCAGTGGTGTGATCTCAGCTCACTGTAGCTTCGACCTCCCCCGGATCAGCTGATCCTCCCATCTCAACCTTCCAAGTAGCTGGGACAGCAGGAACATGCCATCACATCTGGCTAATTTTTGTATTTTTTGTAGAGACAAGGTTTCGCCATTTTGTCCAGGCTGGTCTCAAACTCCTGGACTCAAGCAATCTGCCTACCTTGGTCTCCCAAAGTGCTGAGATTACGGGTGTTAGCCACTGCACCTGGCCTACATAGTTTCTTGAGTTCAATGCCCACCAGGATTTGATACTCCCAAATCATGTCTCTTACTCTATCATTTTTCAGCTTACACGCACACACACACACACCCCTTTCTTTTTGAAGTACACTCTTAGTTCCTGTTGGTAACCAAATTATTCAGTGTTTACTCTT